CAGGCATCCGTGCACCTTCCACGTTTTATTTCTACTTAAAACATGCCTTAGGTTCAGACAAGCACAGTCAGCTGTGTGCGGCATTCCAGATGGTTCTGTCATGGGCTGCAGCTTCCGGACCTGTTTCTCCGGGGCCTCAGCTGCACGTGGGACGGGGGAGAGGCGGCGGCCGGAGGGAGAGCAGGGGCTGCAGGGAGGGCTCCTCTCAGCATCTCAGCCGCCCCAGCACCATGGCTGCCCCACCCGCACCGCGGCCGCCCTGCCCCACCCGCTGCTGTCTGGCAGCCTCCTTTCCCCTGCACCTGCTTCGGTGACATCCTCCGGAGCCGACTTTCCCAGGAGCGGCCCCCGTGTCCTCCGTGCGCACGGCCCCCATAAATGACATTATTACGGGAACGGGACAAGCAGCGGCTTCGCTCTACAAACGCGCTCGGGGAGCCTCCCGCAGCTGGGCTGACCGGAGCGGAGACGGGGGCGGAGAGCGCCCTGCCCCTGGTGTCGAGGGAGAGTGGGCCCCACGTGGATGGTGCACGGACACACAGGGTCTGTGTGTGACACGCCATGCCCACGCTGTGACGTCCACAGGGCGCGCGGCTCTCTCCGGAGCCCCAGGATGGGGCTCTGAACCGTCGCACGGAAATCAAAATGGCAAACGAGTTCACGTTTAAAGGAAGTCTCTGCAGAACCCTCCCTCCCGGGACAGCTAACTGCCTCCGCCGAGCCGAGCTGGAAGGACTTTCCCAGCCGACTTTCTGAAGCAAATGCCCAGACCCTGGAGTTCAAGACCATCTTCCGTGGCCCCTCCCAGGACCCTTCCCTCCGCCATCGCCCCCGCACCCACCCCCGGGACCGCCGGCCAGGACCGCCTTCCGGGTGGGCATGACCTCCCAGGTGCCCGCTGCGCCCGCCCTGCCTCCAGGCCCTCCATTCCCCCTTCCTAGACATCCCAGCGCCCCCGCCCCGCGGCCCCCACAGCCCCCCTCTGACCCCCAAAGCCCGGGAGCACCCGTCTTTTATCCTCAGACTCACTGTCCCTGACCCACCTGCACCCTCCCCAGCTTCACAATCCGCAGGCAGGAGCCACGCTGTGAGGTCATTGCTGAGCCTCCAAACCCAGCAGGTGCTAAAGCTACGTGCTGGGTCAGTGAATGGACACAGTCAGAGGCCGATGCATGAAATCCGTGCACGGTGCAGTCCCCAGCGGGGCCCACGCGGACAGCCCCTGGGGGAGGTGGGGGACGGGGAGAGGAAGCACCCTGAACCCTGGCTTTCTAAGGGTCAGGCATGTCCCCGTTCGGCCCTGGATGTGCCCGACCCCGCGCCGGCAGCAGCCCAGGGGGTGGCTCAGCTGTGCCCACCGTGGCTGTCACTTTGCTGCGGACACTGTGGGTCAGCGGGTCCAGCCTGCCGGGCGGCGTGCGCTCTGGCGGCCCGTCGGTGCGCGAGGCCAGCCTGCAGCCGGGGACCGATGAGGCAGGAGCCGCCCTGAGCATCCGAGCTGGCCAGGCTGGCAGACGTCACCGCCTGGGAGCTCCCGGGTTAGGGCTAAGTTTAATATTATGGTTATGTCTAGGTAGGTTTTACATTAGTGCTAGGGTGAGCATTGGGTTAGGTTAGGATTAGTGTTGAGTTTAGGGTAAGGGCTATGCTTAGGTTAGGGTTAGAGTTATGGTTAGGTTATGTTTAGTACTTGGTTAGCTTTAGGGTTTGGTTACGTTAGTACTAGGTTTGGCTTTAGATTAGGGTTAGGGTTAGGGTTTAGTTCCGTTTAGTACTAGTTTAAGCTTTAGGTTAATTTTACTTATTCCCAGTCGTGTCTGTCCTCTATTGCCAGGAGAGAACTCTGGCTTTTTCTTTGACCAGGTGCTGACTATTCCCTCTCAGAGCTCTGTCTCTGTACGGAAACGGGCCTATTCCGCCTTGGTGAGTCAGGCCCGCACAGCCCTGCCCCTGGTACTCATGGCCTGTGTGCGGGCGCCAGGCTGGTGTGTGGGCGCCAGGCTGGGTGAGGGCAGGTGTGTGGGCGCCAGGCTGGTGTGTGGGCGCCAGGCTGGGTGAGGGCAGGTGTGTGGGCGCCAGGCTGGTGTGTGGGTGCCAGGCTGGTGTGTGGGCACCAGGCTGGGTGAGGGCAGGTGTGTGGGCACCAGGCTGGTGTGTGGGCGCCAGGCTGGGTGAGGGCAGGTGTGTGGGCGCCAAGCTGGTGTGTGGGCGCCAGGCTGGGTGAGGGCAGGTGTGTGGGCGCCAGGCTGGTGTGTGGGCACCAGGCTGGTGTGTGGGCGCCAGGCTGGGTGAGGGCAGGTGTGTGGGCGCCAAGCTGGTGTGTGGGCGCCAGGCTGGGTGAGGGCAGGTGTGTGGGCACCAGGCTGGGTGAGGGCAGGTGTGTGGGCACCAGGCTGGGTGAGGTTTTCATGGAGGAAGGGAGCAGAGAGGGTGACATGCGTGAGAGGGCGAAGGCTCTGTCTGGCTCTCCTCTGCCCGGCGTGCCACCCTGACAGCCAGCCGGGGCAGGGTTTCCCGTTGGGCGGTCTCCAGGCTGGGGCGCTCCGGGCACCACGTGGGGTGCTCCAGGAGAAGCCTCTGCCCTCGCCCTGGTCAGGCTCCGCCTGGGGCGCTGTGTGTGGGCACTCGGAGCGGCTCTTCCTGAAAGTGGCAGTGCTGGTGCCAGGCAGCTTTCCAGTAAAACGGCTTCGGAGCTCATGGGGGAGATGGCGGTTTTTAAGCAGCCACTGCGGGCTGCCCGGCCCAATTACAGAACAATGGGCATCACGGCCCGCTGGGCGGTGCCGCCGAATGTGGCGGGCAGGCGGGGGCGGGGAGGGTTTGGAGGGGGGCTGGCGGAGGGGGGCTGGGGGCAGTCAGGACCCAGGGAATTGCTGGTGACGTTCCCTCCTTGTGCTGTGCCCTCTGGGCCGGGACGCCCCCCGCCCAGCAGCCTCCTCCCAGCGGCCGTCGGACGTGGGCTCCCTTTGGAGCCACAGTTTTCAAACAGTTAATATTCCCTGAGGCTTCGCGTGCGTTTCACAGGAACCCTGACCCTCACACGGACACTGGGAAGAGGGGGTGCCCCTGGCGGGGGGTGCAGGCTGGCACCGCTCCAGGGCGCACCCTGGGGTGGAACCCGCCCGGCCCCTCTGCCGGGCGCTGTGCTGGGCGCCTGCTTGTTCTCTGCTCTCTCGTCCCTGAAGAGATGGCGGGAGGCCTCCCGGGCCTTTCGGGGGGCAGATCTGCATCTGATGCCCGGAGCAGCGGCAGCAGCACCCGGTGTGTGTGTGTGTGTGTGTGTGTGTGTGTGTGTGTGAGTGTGAGTGTGTGTGTGTGTGTGTGTGAGTGTGTGTGTGTGTGTGTCTGTGTGCGTGTGTGAGTGTGTGTGTGTGTCAGTGTGAGTGTGTTTGTGTGTGTGTCAGTGTGAGTGTGTCTGTGTGTGTGTGTCAGTGTGAGTGTGAGTGAGTGTGTGTGTGTGTCAGTGTGAATGTGAGTGTGTGTGTGTCAGTGTGAGTGTGTTTGTGTGTGTGTGTCAGTGTGAGTGTGAGTGTGTGTGTGTGTGTCAGTGTGAGTGTGAGTGTGTGTGTGTGTGTGTGTGTGTGTGTCAGTGTGTGTGAGCGTGTGTGTATGTCAGTGTGAGTGTGAGTGAGTGAGTGTGTGTGTGTGTGTGTGTGTCCCTCGGGGGACGGTGTCTGGGCTCCCAGAGGGTGTCCCGTGGGGCCGCTGGCTCACTGTGGACGGGCCCGGGGCCTGGACCAGGTTCGGAGGCACAGAGCCTGCAGGCCCTGCCCCGGGCGCTCCGCCCGCCAGGCTGCCTGCAGGGGCCCCTCCCCTCCCCGGTCTGTGCCCCCGAGGAGGCGGGACCTGAGCGTTCAGCCGCGGGCGGCCGGGCGGCCGGGCGGCCCAGCCTCCTCTCGGTCTGTCCCGGCCGCACGGCTCTCTAACCCGCGATGGCTTTCCCACGTGGGCTGAAAGGGCTTCACACGAGGTGTCACGCAGACAGCTGGGGCAGGGGGCAGGCCCGCTTTGTTTTAAAAACGCGGACACCTCTCCACCTCACAAGCTCCGCTGCCCACCCCACAGACCCAGCCACTCGCTCTGCTTCTCCCCCGAGGCCCCGAGGGCGGTGGATGGCAATCACCGCCCAGACAGGACCCTGGAGGGGGACGGGGAGCCGTGACAATGCGGACGGAGCCGTACACGGGGGGGGGGGGGGGGGGGGGCGTCTGCACAGGGGTCTCGGCCCAGCAGGACCACATGCCTGGTGGGGCCCGGGCAGTGGGGGGGCGGGGGGGGCCAGTCCCAGGCAAGCAGAGGGGGCAGGGAAGGACGGGACCACGGGCTGCAGTGTTCACAGTGTCCCTGCACACACACGTGTATGTCCGTGCACACGAACATGTGAATGTGTGCACAGTACATGCATCTGCATGTTTGAGCATATGCCTGAGTGTGTACATGTGGATGCATGAGTGTTTATACATATGTGTGCGCGTGCGCGCGTGTGCACGTGGGGGAGGGGGTGGGGGGGGTGGGGGGGTGCGCGTGTGTGTGGGGGTGTGTGGGGGGGGTGGGGGGGGTATGTGGGGGGGTGTGCACTGAGGAGCCAGGCTTCCTCCCTTGGCTGGAAGGCGCCTGAGCAGCGCAGGCTCAGCATAGCACCAAGCACAGGCCCCTCCCGCAGCTCAGGGCAGGCAGCCTGGGTGGGCGGCGGCCGCGGCCCTCCTCCCGCCTGGATGTCGGCAGCAGGGACCAGGCTGTGCGTAAGGAGCCGTCCCCGCGGAGACGGCGCTGGAGCGGAGCCGCCGCCCGGCTCCGAGCACGGCCGTGAGCGGACCCGGGAGAAGCCGGCTGTGCGGAGAGCGGGGGCCGGCAGGCCCCGGGGCCGTGGGTCAGAGCCTGCTCACCGGCTGGCCGGGGTCCGGGGCAGCAGGACGGACGGACACAGCCGCTCTGCCCCCACCGGAAGGACACGGCCCCCCCTGGGCCCGGGCCCGTGGGACAGGAGTGCCCGGGCAGGACCTGGGCCCAGTCCACGCCCGCGCAGTGCTGCCAGCCCTCACCCAGAGGCCTGAGCGGACCTCAGAGCCGCTGCCCCTGACCGTGAACGGAGGGACCACGCGCCATGGCCTACAGCGGGACACCCGCCACCAGGGCAGGACAGCGCCTCGGCAGCACTGCTCCCGCCGGGCAGAGCAGAGGGCAGCGTGGTGGCCGGGCCACACACAGCCGGCACCCCGAACCAGTGCAGACAGTGCATGGGCACCGAGTGTGTCTTCACCGCAGTGAACAGGGCGCCAGGCGGGGGCCGTGCGGGCGGCGCCCTCTCCTGGTGGGCGAGGCCTGGGCATCGGGGCGGCCCCGGCCAGACGTGGGGTGAGGGGCCTGGGCAGGAGAGCCACCGGGACCCGCCCCCCGCAGGCGCCCCAGCCTGGGCCTCGCTCACTCCGGGAAGTGAACAGAGAGGGGAAGGCCCTTTCTGGGGCGAGGAGGCCCCGGGAGAGGGGGAGGGAGCACAGCTTGGCTGGAAGGCGCCTGAGCAGCGCAGGCTCCGGAGGCACCTCCTCCAGCCCCGGCCCCAGCCCAGTGCAGGCCACAGAGGGCACAGGGCGCCCCCCCACCCCGGGGGACAGCCAGCACAGAGGGCACAGGGCGCCCCCCCACCCCAGGGGACAGCCAGCACAGAGGGCACAGGGCGCCCCGGGGGACAGCCAGCACAGAGGGCACAGGGCGCCCCGGGGACAGCCAGCACAGAGGGCACAGGGCGCCCTGGGGACAGCCAGCACAGAGGGCACAGGGCGCCCCCCCACCCCGGGGACAGCCAGCACAGAGGGCACAGGGCGCCCCCCGCACCCCGGGGACAGCCAGCACAGAGGGCACAGGGCGCCCCCCCACCCCGGGGGACAGCCAGCACAGAGGGCACAGGGCGCCCCGGGGGACAGCCAGCACAGAGGGCACAGGGCGCCCCGGGGGACAGCCAGCACAGAGGGCACAGGGCGCCCCGGGGCACAGGAGCCCACCCGTGACAGAGGCACAGAGGGCAGGCGCCCGGGACAGCCACACAGAGGGCACAGGGCGCCCCCCCACCACGGGGACAAGCAGCAACAGAGGGCACAGGGCGCCCCCCCACCCCGGGGACAGCCAGCACAGAGGGCAACCGGGCGCCCGGGGACAGCCAGCACTGAGGGCACCGGGCGCCCCGGGGTACAGCCAGCACAGAGGGCAACCGGGCGCCCCAGGGACAGCCAGCACAGAGGGCACAGGGCGCCCCCCACCCCGGGGACAGCCAGCACGAGGGCACAGGGCGCCCCGGGGGACAGCCAGCACAGAGGGCACAGGGCGCCCCCCCACCCCGGGGACAGCCAGCACAGAGGGCACAGGGCGCCCCCCCACCCCGGGGACAGCCAGCACAGAGGGCACCGGGCGCCCCGGGGACAGCCAGCACAGAGGGCACCGGGCGCCCCGGGGACAGCCAGCACAGAGGGCACCGGGCGCCCCGGGGGACAGCCAGCCACAGAGGGCACAGGGCGCCCCTGGGGGACAGCCAGCCCCCGGTTTGGGAAGGGCTCCGGCCAGCGGGACGCTCGGGCCCGGGCGGCACACCGGCTCGGAGGGGAACACTGGGAAGGTGGTGGGCACCTGCGGCCGGCGGCATCCTCTTCCTCCAAGGCCTGGAAGGTTCCAGGTCGCTCGCTCAGCTGAGGCCGAGGGGGCGCGCGGGGCGCGGGAGCAGCTTCCTGTGGCCTTTGGTCCCCAGTGAGCCAGGCCGAACGGCGGGCGGGGCTGATGCCCGAGCCCTCCTCCGCTCTTTCCACTGAGACTCTCGTCCCCCCCCCCGCCCCCCGCAAAGGCCACGGGGCCATGCTCAGTGACACCTCGGCGTCCTCACGCCCGCGGGAACTCCAGAGGACGGGGTGGCTGCAGGCTGGGAGGGCCCGTGTGACCGGCTCGGAGCTGCGTGAGGAAGAGTGGGGAGGTCGAGGCTCAATCTCTCCTGAGCCCCAAAGAAGGACCCCCCTCCCCGTCCTTTCTCCGAACCCTCAGCCTCTCACAGTCTGCTTCACCCCGGCCGCAGGTGACCGGTGCCACGTCCTCGGCCGCCATCGGCCCCACCCCGGTCAGGGCCGCGCCCGGGAAGGTGAGCGCTGGAGCCGGTCCCAGGGCTCGGGGCGCGTGGTCGATGGAGCCTCTTTTAAAACCTGACCCTACGGAGGGCGGCAGCGCAGAGGGACTGGCTCTGTCGCCTCAGACGGCCCTGAGGCCACCTCAGACCATGGCCCTGAGGGGAGGCTCCCAACCACAAAAGGAACCCCAACCCCCGCCCCTAAAATCTGCAGTCACCCGAGTATGAGCTGAGGAGTTATTAAAATCTAGTATTTTAAGTCCAACTCCCACAATAGGCGTTGTGTGGGAATCCTGGCTGAGGGATGGGTGGCGGGCATGTGGTGAGTTACGTTAAATTCTGGTTTAAAAAAAAAAATACTATATTTTAGCCCGGCCAGTGCTGCTCAGAGGCTGAGC